AGGAATGCAGATGTTGTTTGCATTTGCCTGCCTTGAAACTTTTTGTTTTCTATGATCGCTACCTTACTGTACAGTAGTGTTTCCTCTTGTGTGTGTACTTTCTGTTTTCATAGTTGGAGTTTTCTTCCATGATTTTTTTTTTTCCAAAAGAGTAACTTCCCCCCTTCTGCCAGTAATGTATTACCAAGCATATTACCATGTAACTCCCTCCTTTATTCCAGAGCCCCTAGTGGCTATTAAAAGTGCACATAGACTTTCAGGGAAGGAGTGGTGATCTCCTCCTCGTTTCTTCTGACTGACCTTTAACTAAAAGGTGCATCCCTTTGATTATCAACAGGCAAGAATACCACATTGTTTCTGAAATTGCTGTGCTGTGTACAGTCAGGTGCGTCTCCATACAGGAGGCACCATCTTGCATCTTTGACTTGTATGCATTTGGTGGCGTACTGCTTTGTTCTGGCTGTTGGATATTTTTCTGCTCAGCAGCTGTGATGTTGAGAAGAAGCATGAAAAACTGAGCTTCCCACTCTGTGTACCAACCAACGGAGGCATCAGGCAGAAAGAACATACGCACAAGAGCACCATCCATTGTGCTATGGGGGCCATGCTCCAACTGTGGTAATGCAGAGAGGTGTGTGAGGGGGGAGGCTCTGTCATTTGTACAATGAATATATTAGGCCTGTGGGGTCAGGCTCAGTTGCTCTCGTCTTTCTGGACTGAAAAATAGGAACCTATTTTGTGTTCCTATTTATAGAGGAAATCCAACTGTTTCACTCCCATTAAACTGTATTGCATCCTTCTGCTGATGCAGGGATATTAATTTTTTTTTTCTTACTTCTAACTTACCCAGTCTCATATAAAAACAAAGGAGCTGGAGCCTTTTTCTGAGACTAATACATAGGAAACAGTTGTCTTGCACTCACTTTGAGAGATGTCATTTGGGCAATGTTTGGCTGCTGTGCGGGCATGCTGCTGGCATGCATGGATTTGGAGGATGATTGCTGCACTTCATGGCTTCAGGGAGAGGTTTTGGAGAGGAGAGCGGTTAGTACTCTATAAAGAACACAGAGGAGTGTTAATCAAGTCCCATGCAGAGCCTCAAGGATGTATCTTGGGCCAGTGAGTAGTATCTCCGGTGAGCCACAGGCCACTAGGTGGCACTTCCAATACCTCCTTTGTTAGTACATCGTTATTGCCATGGTTATTTGAAGCCCCAATAGCTCCATTTGTTTGTATTTGTTCAAACTGTATTATATAAGAGAGGAAAGCTGAGAGCTACTTCCAGAATTCTGGTTGGGGTTTGAACTTGATCCTTCTAGTTAGGAGACTAACCTAATCCATTCTGTTTGGCTCCACTGAACTTTAATGAACTCTCTGTAACCATTATAGGTCCAGATTCCATTTCTTGGCCAACCCTATGTTTCGTTTGCTTTCTTGCTCTGTATTAACTCTTTGCTCTATCTAGCTTGCGCAAACCATTCCTCTAGCTCACTGTATCCCTTTTAGCCATGGAAATAACAGGACTTGGCAGGACTTGTTTTTATGGAGTACTCTTTGGGTTGGAAGCTGACGATGCCGTTATTGGTAGGGTGCTTCATGTGAACAGCAGATGTTTATAGGGGAGGGGACCTAAGATGGCTATTGTTCTCCTTTTTTAGATTGCCCATCAAACACCTGTGTTTTATTAAAAAAATAAATGGGGGAGGGGGAGGAAACATTAGGGGTTGGAGAAGATAATGTATTATCTGTTTCTGAATAAACGTTTGTTATACAGAGAGTGGGTTCGAAGCCTTTTTAGATGCTGCGAAGCAACTAAAGATAGGTGGAGTTGTTCCAACAACTTGATTGAATCAAGCATGCTTTTAGAAGACGATAGAAACTTCAAAACTGATACTATGATGAAGAGCAAGAGGAGTATATGGATGAGAATTGATACTCATAAGCCTTTTAATCTGAATCATCAAAATTAGTAGCTGGTTATTGCTACTAAGTGGGAACAGTTTGTGTCCCCACCTAGTTCCAGTTCTGTTGTTCCAGGAAAAAAAAATGGCCTTTTTTATTGACAGCCTTGTAATTTTAAAAGTAATTTTATGAAAAAAATACAGTTGTGAAATCGGGATCTGTTCTAGGTGAAGGAGGGTGCTTTTGTTATCAGCTAGATAGAAAGCTGTGCAAATGTGAAAACAGGTGTATTGTGAGTGCGTATCTTGTCTCTTCTGAAAGAATGGGGAGATTCAAACATTTATTTTTTTATTAATAGAATCATGTCCATTCCAAAAGCCAAATAGCAAGATGCACTTTGTAACTTGCTGTCAAATTGTGCACTGTGTTTGGGTTATCTGTGAGAAATGGTGACATTAACATATTTGTTGGAAGAACTGCTGCTCTGGTCTCTAGCTCTATGATCTATGGCAGTATATTTTTTTTTTTAAATTAATAGAAGTCGATGCTTGTCTAAACACCACTCCGTGATTTCTCTTTAAAAGCAATGTTTTGGTGTGCATTGCTCTTCTTGTTCTCAGTCGGCTCTCTAAAGTTATCTTAGTCTTCTAATACTTCATAGTATGGCTTTGTTTGTTGGGCACTGCGCGAAGAGTGACCAGTTCCTCCTCATCCCTTCCAACCCGTTCACCTCGGAGCTCTCCTGTTTCTCCTGGCTTTGTCCTGCGCCTGCTGCGCGTTCCACTGAGCTCACCCACTGCCTTACAACCTCACATCTGTGCACATCTGCCCTCCTGTGGCACGATTCTGTATTTTGGTTTGGTTTTTTTTTTTTCTGGGCTGTTAGATTATCAACTCGCATATGAAATGCTGATTGCTTGTGCTAATTCAATATGGCTGGCCAGGACAGGTGGTAGGTAATTTGTAACTGATTTTTTTTTCTCCTCTTTTTGAAAGCACACGCTGACTTCTGAAGGGATGCCACAATTTGCAAGTTTGTGTGGTATATTTTTCATGGCTTTTGCATGTACCATTTCTTCTGATAATGTGCATTAACTTGGATATTTGTTGGGTGAGTCAGCTCTCCACGTCGTTCCTTACTTTCACTGACTTTTTTTTTTTTTCCTCACCTTGTAAGATGCTCTGGCTGAGGAAATCATTTTGTTATACTCAACCATCGGGCGGCGGCGGCTCCCTCAGGGCGGGCAGCGCCTGAGGCGCTGCC